TATGCGACAAACGAACTTGAAGAGCCTCGGCAGAAACTGGTAGAAACTACTCGCATACTATAGTGAAAGGATACACATATGTAAATATGTTGATTACAATACGAAAATTCTGAGGAAATTTCGGGAAATTCTCATTATTTTCTGTACATTTCTGGACGGTTTAGTATGTGAACTCCTAAGCTCAGCGGCGGAGGAGAGCGAACAGATTTCCCAACACTGGAGTTTCACCCTAGTGATATGAAAAACATATTTCACGACTACTGCATATCACCGCGAATATCGCGTTTTTCACCGAGTTTTACGCCACTTCATGTAAAACGGGTTGTGAAACTCCACTGATGTATATTGATAGACTCAAGGGGCTTATACAATCTAGTTATATTTCCACTAATCGACGAGGAGCAGTTAGTCCAAGTTAAGAACCCCTAAAACTGAATTTTAGCTTTGCAAACACAGCGAGTGGAGAAATTACTTCGTTTCGCTAACCCACGTTTTAAAGACTTCCTCGAGCGGCGGCGGCGGCGGCGGAAATGACTTCCGATGCTCCGTGTTCCACCACCACAGGCAGCAGCGTCAGTACGATTCCTGGGGACCGCATTATTTCTACAACATTTTTCTCGACTTGGTCACTTTTCATTTTTTATTCTAGTCGACGCACAAGTTCTCGAGTGGGACGTCCTTCTCTTTCTTAAAGATATCAATCAATCTCGTTTCAAAGGCTAGTTCTCTTACACTCTATTCTGAGTCAGAATTGATGCAAGAAACTTCATCATGACCATGGCTACGGTATTATTTGTTTCTGAGATTTTATTGTCGGGTTGTTGAAAGGCATGTGTCAAAGTTGGAGTTCCTGAATTTGAAATTGTTCTCACTAACTTTTGAAATTGGAAGTCCTAGTTGGTTGCATCTGCTGAAAACTGAAGTTATTAAACGAGAATCTATAGTTTCATTTCGCCCCCCCCCCTTCCCCCAAATAGGCGGTGAAAAGATGTACCATACCGTCTCTGGCCCGAATCGCAATAGGATTGGGGCGCTAGGACTGCGCTGTTGACATCCTGCACTTCGGAGTTGACAATGCCCTCTAAATAACTGTCGTGGAAATCTTGCGAATAGTAGTTTCCGAGATGATGAGTTTGAGGACCGCCCCAGACCTTCTCCAGAGGTGCAGAGCGCTTGCTCGATCTGTGAGGCTAGGTGGCAGCAACAGTTCTACGGCCGTGTAAAACGTGTATAATTCAGTTTTCACTCGGAAGAAAATTTTAGGTCTGGTTGCATCGCGATAGTTTTTGCCATCAGCATATGTCCCTCCTGCGCCGATTCTGTCGCCCATTGACTCAGGCCATGGTCAGAGGGCCGAAGAAGAAAAAGGGAGGTGATCGTATCCACTTTCGGGGGAAGTGAAAAAGACATTGACAATACTCGCCGAACCCCTGCTGAGTCTCAAACTCTCCCTCAATCTGAGCATTAGAGCCCTGCAGAGGGTTGTACGACGTGTTGTAGATATCTCGTCATTGGTTTCATCATCAAACTCGTTATGTGCTGTGGGTATAATGATCTCAAATGTATACGTCATCCTCGGAAAAATTTAATAAAAATTTGATTTGTATAGAAAATATTGGCTTGATGATTGTATATCAGCTCGCGAGAAGTGAGAGTGCGCAGCGGCGTGGTTATTTTCAGGTGGATCAACAGGGAGCACACAGGAAGCAGTTGCAGTTGATCCAGCCGACAACCAACTTTTCAACATCTACACTACGAGGTGAGACCTCACATCATATAATATATTCAATTCCGTCAGAACAGATCAGAAGATGAGAAAATCCTTCCGGATGAGCACTACCCGAAGTGGCTCTGGGGGCTCGAGCAGCCTAGTGCAGGGTATGGCGAGCTGAGTCTGATGTTCGTCCACGGTGTCAATATCGAGAATGCTACTATGTACCACTATCATAGGTGGGATAACACGTGCATGTCGATTTTCAGTTGATGGTAGTGTTGCAGTTTCTTCGGAAGCATCGAGTTTTGGTGATCAAACACAACAATGTTCGGT